GCATGCTTTGAGATGGGTGGACTTCAACTCCCAGAATCCCCCATCCAGCATGCTTTGAGATGGGTGGGCTTCAACTCCCACAATCCCCCAGCCAGCATGCTTTGAGATGGGTGGGCTTCCGCTCCCAGAATCCCTCAGTCAGCATGCTTTGAGATGGGTGGACTTCAACTCCCAGAATCCCCCAGCCAGCATGCTTTGAGATGGGTGGGCTTCCGCTCCCAGAATCCCTCAGTCAGCATGCTTTGAGATGGGTGGACTTCAACTCCCAGAATCCCCCAGCCAGCATGCTTTAAGATGGGTGAACCTCAACTCCCAGAATCCCCCAGCCAACCAGTATGCTTCTGGGAGTTGTAGGCCAAGCATACTGGTGGAAGAAATCTTTCTTGCCACAATTGTTAAGTGAATTGCTGCAGTTGTAAGGTAGTAACACAGTTCAAGTGACACTGGATTCCCCATTGACTGTCGGTCGCAAAAGGCGCCTGCACACTGTAGCCATCATGCAAACAGGCCAGTTGCCGGTGTCTAACTTTTGATCATCTGGCCATGGGGATGACGTAAAGGTCGTAAGTGTGAAAAACAGTCAAAAGCCTCCCCTTTCGCCCCTGTGTTCTTGTCGGTCACTAAACAGTTGTCGTGAACTACCTGTGAAACTTTGGCGAACCCACTTGGCTGAAATACACACCTTACCACATAGCAAATGCTGAGGCTTTGGTTTATTAGAAGAACCTGCTACAGTGAGGAGAAGACACAATAAGTACATTTAAGGTCAATTTACAGGAAAGCAAAGAAATGCATTGAAAAAGTAACAACAGCAGGTTAACTGTCTCTTTTAAACATCCACTCCCTTTTTTTTTCCGTAATAAAAACATGTTGCATAGTACAAAAAGAAGCAAGGCAGTAGGGTTTGCGACAACAGCTCCCTTCTTCGAACCCTCCGGGGACCGATGATGTGGGAATCACACAACTAAGGGATTGTTGTTAAGTCTCCATCGGGCCTAAACTGTGACTAACTTTTCCAACTCTTCCTAAATGGGTTTTTGCTCAAGCCAGGAAGGTGAAGGCAGGTAGGAAAAAGCTGCTGATCCCTTTGAGATGTCAGTTGCATTCGGATTATATTTTCCCGTGGCTTCGGGCCTTGTGTTAAACCTTAAAACACTCAAAAGAGCCACAAAGGTCCTAACTAGACACTCCCCCCCAAATTCAATTCTGAAGCCGACCGGAAGTCCGGTTCTCCCCACCAGAGACTCTCCTAGTGCCGGCATCCTTTTTCCTCTACCTGTCCTAACCGAAAGTCCTATCAATTGCAGAGCTGACCGACAGGGAGCCCCAGCAGAGGGATGAAAGAGCCACTCCAGAGCAGTGGGATTCCTCCCCTTAATCAAATCCAGTGCATTATTTACATGAATGAAGTCCCTTTAATTTTTCTTACAGCGGGAAAGAAACAAAGATGTGACTCACTTCTGTGTCCGGTCTAGTTTTGTGGCACACAAACACACGTTGTAGAGGCCAAAAGAGAGCCATTTTCTGGTGGAAGGATCTTGTACCTTTCTTTAAAAACATTAGATATCCCGTTTTTTTTTGGGGGGGGGGGAAGAAGATTCCAGCATTTTAAACCTGGCAAGTCAGAAAAGCTGTGACCGCATTTTATAAGGCACAAGTTTATACAAAAGGCACTTGGATAAAAAGTTTGGGCCTTGCCAGAAACATCAACGGGCATCTCTTCAGTCTGATATGGGTAATCCTCGAGTTATGACCACAATTGAGCCCCAAACCTCTGTTGTTAAGTGAAACGGACGTTCAGTTTTACGGCCTTTCTGGTCAGAGTTTTGAGTGGAATCCCTGCAAGTTGTTTTAAGATAGTAACACAGTTGTTAAATCAATCTGTCTCTTGACGTCACTGGTCAGAAGGTTGCAAAAGGGGATCGTGTGACTCTGGCCCGTCGTAAAGATGAGTCGGTTGGCAAGCGTCTGAATTTTGGTCATGTGACCCTGTCACAACTATCGTAAATGTGGGGAAAAAACGATCCTGTCACTTTTTTTTAGTGCTGTTGTAACTTTGGTCACTAAGTGAGCTGTCGTAAATCGAGGACTACCTGTAGCTGATGGCCGCCTTATTAAAGGCAAGGAAATCCTGAAATTCTTCTTTTTTTTTTTTTAAGTGGGGCAACTTGGGCCACCTGAGTAGGGAAAAGGTTAAGTTTCCAAACTTAACAGTATTGAAAAATGGAACTCTGGGAAATTTGCGGCTTTAAAAAAAAATGGAGAAATGCATTTTGATAGCAAAGCCTCTGCTAAATTGGAAGGGGAAAAAACACAAAGGAATGTCACACTCCCTTCTTATGTTCGTACTGTCAGCTCCCTGAAGAGGCGGCATGTGGATTTTTTTTGGGGGGGGGGGCACGAAACGTCCCCTCCAATTTGCAGTGGCCAAGCCCACCCCTCACCCCTGTTTTGAAGTCTGGCCCACCCCACCACGTTCCCCAAATATAGCTGGAAGCACGCATAGGCCTGAAGAGTGAGCTGCGAGTCTCGGACCAACGGACCGCCCGGAATCCTTTTACGAGTTGAGAAGCGAGTTCAAATCCAGGTCACCCATGGACGAAAAGCTGTCCTCGGTAAAGGTCCCCAAAAGGCCGTTGAGGAAGCTGTTGTTGGTCGAATGGGCGGTCCCCCCACCGTCCCCATTGCCGCCGGACTCCCCTCCCGCCCTCCGCTGGCTGACCAAGCGAGTGATGGATTCCGGGTAGGTCATCAGAGTCCCCTGGGTGTCCCCTGGCAGCGGCGCGGGGCCCGGGCCTTCGTTGAGCAGCTGCCGGAACTCGGTGGTGTTGATGCTATCCAGGCTGTTGTAGGTGGTGTCTTCCAAAAGGCCCACCAAGGGATCCCCGCCTTCAAAGTGGAGTTGCAGGAAGGCATCGGCGATGCTGTTTTCGGTGTCCATGGAGGAAGTTGGGGCCTGTGAGGAGACGCCCAGGCACGACAGATCCTCCATGTTCACAGTGCTGAAGTTGGAGGCAGCCGCAGTGGCCATGGGAGGCAGCGGGGTGGGGTGGCTGGACCCAACGAAGAAGCCGGCAGAAGGCTGAGCCATGACTTGCGGCTTCTGAATTGGGCGCATGGGCGAGTGGCTGGATGCTCCCAAAAACCCTGGCACGGCTGGAGGGAAAATCAAAACATGGCTTAATAAAGAAACGGGGACATGGCCAAAGGGAATGAGAAGGCAAAGAGGTTTTCCCTAAAATTTAAGACTAGTTAGTTTTGTGGGTAAAACTAGTGGTTTTACCTACAAAGAATATATACATACACATACTTTAGTCGGACCTCAAACAAACAGCAATTACAGCACAGAAGAAGGGAGAAAGACACCCCAGCAGGGCCTCTTTTTATTACAGACTCTTAAAGTGGTATCAGCCCCAAAACCTTGCTGACTCATTCCCAGCATTACATCATCATAGCAGCTGATCAGCTCTTTAAATCTTTACCAAGATCCTACATGAGCGATGGCTGAATCTTGCTCAGTGTGCCTAAAGCAGAGAAAAGAACCAATCTAGGAAACGAGGCCCGTTTATGCCTTTCCTCACCCAACAGGAAAAGAGAACTGGAACAAAGTGGGGAGAGAAAGAGAGAGAAATAAAAGAGAGATAGAGAATACAGAAGAACCAATTTGGAAGGTCTTCTAGTCCAACCCCCTGCTCAAACAAGAGAGACTGTAGCTTTTTAGACAAATGGCTGTCCAATTTCTTCTTAAAAACCTCCAGAGATGGAGCATTTACATCTTCTGGAGGCAAAGCTGTTCCACTGGTTAATTGTTCTCACTGCTAAAAGGGAGTGGGGTTTGCCCTTTCCTGCACTCATATAAATTTCCTAAATAAATAAAAATAAATGATGCTGTAACCTAGATGGGTCATGAAAACCACCAAGCTCAGAGAGCACCAAGGGACCCACAGTTTCAACCCTTGAGCTATGAATATTCTCCTGTACAGTTGCATTAAAGGTAAAGGTTCCCCTCGCACATCTGTGCTAGTCGTTCCCAACTCTAGGGGGCGGTGCTCATCTCTCTTTCAAAGCCGAAGAGCCAGCGCTGTCCAAAGACATCTCCGTGGTCATGTGGCTGGCATGACTCAACGCCGAAGGCGCACGGAGCGCTTTTCCCTTCCCACCAAAGGTGGTCCCTATTTTTCTACTTGCATTTTTTACCTGCTTTCGAATTGCTAGGTTGGCAGAAGCTGGGACAAATCACGGGGGCTCACTCCGTTACGCGGCGCTAGGGATTCGAACTGCTGACCTTTCTGATCAACAAGCTCAGCATCTTAGCCCCTGAGCCATCGCCGTCCCTGTTGCATTACTTGCATTACTTCAACCCCAAATGCAGGTGTACAAAAACTCTTCCCAATCCTTACAGCCGTCTCTCCACTCTTGGCAGTGTCCAAAAATATTTGGGAATGAGGAAGGACTTACTGCTGGTGGTAGGCCGGGGTGCTCCGTGTTTTGGTACGGCCATGCGGCGTGGAGATTGTGCTTCCGTGGTCCCTACTGTTGAGGAAAGTAAACAACATAGAATTATGATTGGACTGTAACTGGGATGCCAAGGGGTGGGGAATGGGTTATTCTATATATCATTTGCTTTCACGCC